CAAACTGAAACAAATATTTAAATTAATATTATGTGTCTTCCTTTTCTGTTCACTGCCCAATAAATGTACATTCTCTTTCCATATTTAGATATTTCGTCATACCTTGTATTTTATGACATTGAGAATTGATTGAAGCTGAACCTTCTGGATTTCAACATTAGGTTAAACAGATATTTTACAAAGAAAACGGCTTTTCTCAGATATTCCAAATGAGCCATCACAAAGTACAAAGTAATAAACTAAGTTTCATTTACCAAGCAATCCTAGCTCTCACAGGTAATAATGTACATTAATGAATACGATGTATAAGCAAATGCGGTATAAAAGAGCTCACTCACCACAACCCTTCAACTTTGATTTCTTGTTCTTGGGCTGCAGCTGATACCATTGGGTCCCAAGTGACAAACTTTCCGAATCAAAAACCTTTGACAATGGAATATTGACTTGCCCCAGGAAATCATCATTGAAGTACTTATCCTCGTCCAGTACCGAAATAGCGAGCTCTTCACTTAGATCCCCAACTCTGAAGCTGAACTCCTCATCCCAATAAGGGTTCAAGTTCTTCTTCACTACCTTTGTCTTGAAACGCCGCTTTCCGAGCTGCAACCTCACATAGGGATCACTAGACCCATTAAGATCCATTGCTGGCAGGCACCGAGCTTCGATAACGTGAACTAAAAGCTTCATTTTGTTGAGATAGGAGATACTCCGTAGCAACTTCTTAGTTGGAACAGGATAGGCTTTTGTTTCGGAAAAAACTCAATGGGTAGAGTTTAGAATGCAGATGATCAATTTGCTGGGTACACAATTAGCAGCTTTGTTGAATGGTCTTCAAAAAATGGGAGAAAAAAATCAGATCCCAAGTAATTACTATGACGAGACGATCAAATGGACAAAGAACAAAGGTTTCAGCTGCAAGAAAACCTAATTTCCAATGGACAAAGAACAAAGGTTTCAGCTGCAAGAAAACCTAATTTCCAACGGAACCCAAAGCAGAGATCCAAACTGACCCAAATGAAGAAGAAAACAACACAGATATCAGCTTTGCAACAAGCCGATTTCTCAACTGTACTCCCAAATCTTAAACAAGAAGGGAGGGTTTCAGCTGCTGGGAACCTCAAAATTCCAATCAAAACCCAGTGAGAAAAGATCCCAAATTGGACGAAGATCAGAAATAAGAGCTAACCATTTGGAATCCCAATCTCTCAACCCCCAATAAACGCGCCAATGGAGCCCAAGACAGCAGCAATAATGGGGAAAGCTGTAAATTTTTTGCAAACTTGGGTCAGGATTACCGGAAATTTCTCAAAATAATGACGAAAGGAAGCCCTAGCAGGTAACTTAAAACGCCGATTTTGGGGGAATAAGTCCCGTTGCTATGGCCCTCCGTCTCCGCTGAACAGTCTCCGTTGACTTTTGTCTAATTTAAGTTTTTTAAACAGGATTAGTTTTTTTAATTTAATTCAATTTAGATTGGGTTTTGTTTACTAGTCGTTGCCTTCCCGTCACTCGTGATTTTTTGTTTAATGAAAGAAAGAGAGGGTGCTTTTAAGACCAAGAACTAACCTAACAAAGACAAAATTTGAGCACGTTGTCTTAGCATTTTAATAGAGCCAAATATAAGAAAAACCCCCCATAACTTTTGACTACTGTCAGTTAACCCCCAATAACTTCCGAAATATCACGCCTTAAGGTCAGAAGTTTCCCATTAATATTAAGATTTTCCATAAAACCCCCTAAAAGTGCGAACCACGATTTTACTCGCGAAAACATCTGCCCGTATAATTTTAGCAACTCGATATAAAAATTGCCATTAACATTATGTTGGGGTGTTTTCTGATAACATCTCAAAGTTAAAAGAAGATTTTCTAATAACCCCTTAAGCTCAAGGGGGTTTCCTATTATTTTAGAAGTCATGACGGTTTCGTTGATAATAATCCAAAGTCAAAAGGGGGTTTTCTGATATTTAGCCTTCTTATAATTCCAACCTTTACAATTTGCTTCTTTCCTCTATAAATAAATAAATAAATAAATAAGAGAAAGATATCCTAATCATAGATTTGAGATTTATATATGTTACCACCCACATTTTTATCATTTTTAATAGGGTGATTCTGTTAGGCCCAATCAGTCCAATTTCTGATAGGGACGGCTGATTCCCCTTCTTTAGTTAACTACACAGATTAGCGTAGCAAGAAAGCTTGGTTCCCAATTGCTTAGTAAATATAATAAATTGCCTTTGAACATATATTCATCTAAAGAAAGAGGATGACTCGATCGGTTTTTTTATTATAAAACTGTGATTGTTATTTGTGCTTAAAGTTATATACGATATGAGGACAAATTTTCAAAACCACCCTTTTTGCGATTTTATTCCCAAAAAACGACTTCTTTCCTCTTTATTTGTAAAAACCGACCTGGTTTCAGCCTCAGCGCTGAAACCAGGTCGGTTTTAACAAAAAAAGTTCCGAAACTTCACGGGAGTTGAACTCCCGTGAAGTTTAGCAGCTTAATTAAATAGCTGTTAAACTTTACGGGAGTTGAACTCCCGTGAAGTTTCTTAGTTTAAAAAAAAAGTTGAACTGTGGAACTTCACGGGAGTTGAACTCCCGTGAAGTTTAGCATCTTAATTAAATGATTGCTAAACTTTACGGGAGTTCAACTCCCGTGAAGTTTCGGAACTTTTTTTATAAAAACCGACCTGGTTTCAGCCCTGAGCCTGAGGCTGAAACCAGGTCGGTTTTTACAAATAAGTGGGAAATTGGTCGTTTTTTTAGAATAAAATCTCAAAAAGGGTGGTTTTAAAAATTTGTCCTACGCTATGATTGTATTGAACTTGGAGTGCTTATATAATAATAAAGTTTTTTCTTTTGTACTTTACAATGTATACAATTTTTAATCTCCAAATATCTCACTTGTGACCAGTAAACAGCCTGCGCTATCAAAAATAAAATTATTTTCAAACTAGTTTGATAAGGATTGAAAAGATCAGCAACGAACAATTAATCTAATACCGCTTTCACAACATCGTGTACATTCTAAGGACATAGGCTCCACCACACCCTGGTGTGGTGTCTGTCATGGGTGTGGTAGAATCTGTCCTGCACCACACCCTCTGCCACACCCACGGTGCAAGGTGTGACAGAATCTGTCCTGCACCACACCATCTGCCACACCCATGGTGCAGGGTGTGGCAGACTCGTTTTTAGAATCATTCTTTGTATGGGAATCCTTCTTTGTTTGGGATTGTGTTTTATTATAAATAGGACCACGTTTTTTAGGGTTTCTTAAGGAGAGAAAAGGAGAGAATTAGCATTATTTTGAGCACTTTGAGAGGGAGATATTGTGAGGGAGTTGAGAGCTTTGGTTAGGGTTATATTTGAGTGATTTTGTGAGTTGTAACCCGTTGTATTTCTCCTCCATATAGTGAAATCTCCCCATCCTCTCCCCGGGGACGTAGGCAATTGCCGAACCACGTATATCCTTGTGTTTGGTTTGATTTGTCGTAATTGGCTTGGTTTGTGCAAGTGTTTGGCTTTCTTCTACTCGTGATCACAGGTTCGTTGTGTGTGCGTGCAACGCTTTCGCATAGGCGCGCGACAAGTGGTATCAGAGCTCAGATTTCAGATCTAGGGTTTTGGATTAGGTGGAGGAAGATTCAGTTGGAAGCTTGGTTCTTGGAGTTCTAGGCTTTGGTGGAGTTAGGGTTTGAAGTTACTGTTGAAGATCTCGCTTTCCTCGTGTGGTTAGGAGTTCTATTTGGAATACAATCTAGGGTTCAGTTGGGTAATTTCTTATTCCTTTCAAAGTTTGAATCTTTCCTTGCAATTTGAAATTTGTGATTATGGGTGAAGAAGTTGGTGAAAGCAGCAAGATGATCGGCACAGTTCAAGTGGGTTTTCAGAACACTAAGATTAGTGTAGTGAAATATGACGGCAAGATCAATTTTGGTTTGTGGATGAGCGACGTGCAGGATGCGCTCAATGCTCAAAATCTGGAGGAGACCATCATGGTCGATGTGAGGCCACCTAAATATGGAGAGGCGATATGGGAAAAGATGAATCGAAATGCTTGTGGGGTGATCAGGTCCTGTTTGGAACAGGAGCTGAAATACGATGTGATTGGGGTGACGTCTGCAATGAAGATGTGGGAGATTCTCAACAACAAGTATCTCACGAAGAGTGTTGAGAATAGGTTGCACTTGCTGCGAAGATTATTCATATTTCAGATGTCCAGAGGCACCTCGCTTGCGGCTCATGTGAACAACTACACTAAGTTGTTGTCGGACTTGGCGAACGTGGATGAGAAGATCACAGATGAGTACAAGGCTATTATTCTTTTGGGCTCCTTACCGGATGAGGAGTATGATACCTTCGTGCTTACGTTGCTGAACGGGAGATCTTCTATCACTTATAGTGAAGTGACTAACGCATTGACGAACTATGATTTGAGGAGGAAGGATAAGGAGACTTCCCGCGCTAGTACTTCAGGAGAGGCCTTGTCGACGAGAGGTAGAGGCTCATATCAGAAAGGTGGAAATAGAGGGAGGTCAAAGTCAAGAGGTCATCACCAGCTTGAAAAGAACCAATGTGCATTCTGTAAAGAGCAGGGACATTGGAAGAGAGACTGTCCGAAAGTCAAAAAAAAGGAGAATAGCAAGAATAAGGGCCCGAAGGCCAATGAGGTGAATGTTGCGAAAGGCGATGATTCCGATGATTCGAGCTTTTCTCTTTTGATTACTCCGGAGGTGAACCATTTGGATGCATCGGAGTGGATGCTTGATTCTGGCGCTACTTATCATGTGACTCCTAGGCGAGATTGGTTCTCATCATTTGAGAGACTCGATGGGGGTGTTGTGGGTCATGGGAAATGATCAATCCTGTGGCGTTTGTGGGATAGGTACTGTGAGGATTCGGATGCACGATGGAGTAGTCTGTGAGTTGAAGGAGGTGAGATTCGTTCCTCAACTTAAGAAGAATCTTATCTCAGTTGGGGCTTTGGAGGCGAAGGGATTCAGGGTGACCTTTGAGGATGCTGTAGCGAAGGTTACTAAGGGATCTTTGGTGGTGATGAAGGGAGTTCGCAGTCATAATTTATACTATTTGAAGGGAAGCACCGAGATTAGCCAGGTTGCTTCGGCTATTTCAGAGACGGACATGAGCAGACTTTGGCATTACAGGTTAGGGCACACAAGAGAGAAGTCACTGCAGGCTTTGTGCAAGCAGGGGCTATTGAAGGGAGCCAAGAGTGGAAAGATTGAGTTCTGTGAGCACTGTGTTCTTAGCAAGAAGACGAAGATGAAGTTCGGGACGGCCATTCATAGGACGAAGGGCATCTTGGACTACGTGCACACAGATATTTGGGGTCCCACCAAGACGGCATCACTTGGTGGTCGACATTGGTTCGTCACATTTGTTGATGACTATTCTAGGCGTTGTTGGGTGTACACCATGAAGCATAAGAGTAAAGTCCTAGATTTGTTTGTGGAGTGGAAGAAGAGATTGGAACTGCAGACTGGGAGAAAGATCAAGACGTTGCGATCCGACAACGGCGGCGAGTATACTTCAGACCCCTTTCAGCAGCTATGTCGAGACGAGGGCATAGAGAGGCACTTCACAGTTAGTCATACACCGCTGCAGAATGGGGTGGCAGAGAGGTTAAATCGGTCTTTGCTGGAGAAGATTCGATGTTTATTGGCGCATAGTAGTTTGGAAAAGATCTTTTGGGCTGAGGCACTTTCTTATGCGAGCCACCTCATTAATAGGCTGCCTTCATCTGCGATTGAGGGGAAGACCCCTATGGAGATGTGGTCAGGAGAGACAGCACATGACTATGACCAGCTTAAGGTATTTGGTTGCCCTGCATATTATCATGTTAGAACTGATAAGTTGGAACCTCGAGCTAGGAAGACCATATTTGTAGGATTCAAGCGTGGTGTCAAGGGATACAAGCTTTGGAATCCAGTTGATAAGAAGATTGTGCTGAGTAGGGACGTCACATTCGATGAGGCTTCTACCTTGAAGCTTCCTAGCTCTCATCAGGTGGAGAGCGACCCGACAGAGGAGATTTCGCAGGTGGTGGAGATTGATACAGCTCCACAGAGTCCAGATAGTGCAGTATCCATTAGAGTGCCGACTGAGGTGACGCCAGGCGAGCACGACGGTGATGCGGAGGATACGGGTACTCATGAGCAGGATCAGGGACCGACGGCTCAGGTTCAGGATTCTATTGCGGCACGGAGACAGAGGAGAGACATACGGGTGCCAGCACGGTATGCCGACACAGTTGCATATGCACTTCCGGTGGAGAGTATCGATGAGATGGTGCCTACTACATTCAGAGAGGCCGAGCAGAGTTCGGAGGCTGATTCGTGGCAGGTGGCTATGCAGGAGGAGATGG